GTATCCATGTGACTCACATAGTGTTTCATTAGCTAATTCTACTTTTGAGGTCCCTTCAGAGCTTTTCTTAACATTTATTTGGTGTTCTTTCACAAACTGTGCACTAATGAAGTTTTTAGAGGCTCCTGGATCAATTAAAATCAAGACTTCTTTTCTGTCAACCTTCTCTTTTATCTGTAGGAGTTTCTCTTTCTTTTCACTGCTCATATTCACTTCCGTTTCGACAACGTTTGCTTGTTTAACATTAGCACTTGTACCTGCAGAACTTTCAGAGTCTAAGTTCTGTTTATTGTGACATACTTTTGCTATGTGGCCTTTTTGTCTATACTTAAAACATAAGCCTTTTTGCCTATACTCCTTTTTCTTTGTATCCCTTGTAGTTTGTTTTCTCTTTTTTAAATTTTTACGAAATTTTCTTATTTTGGTTCTATCAAGTTCCATCGGTGTTACTCTATCATTCTTTGTACTGCTAACTTTTGAACTGTTATTTTTGATTTCTTCAGAGGTTTGATGTCTTATTCTACCAACACTGTACATCACTAAATCATATATTATTGCAATCACATTGTATTCTCAAAGCTTTCAGGTGCCTAATAGCTGACTTCGGCTTTGGTTGCTAGTTTTAGACCTTCTACGAAGTTGAGTATCTTGTCTTCTTCTTCTATACTTTTTACTTGACTAAGTAAGTTCCTAAACCTAGTAGTGTACTTCTGTATGGTCAAAGTTTGTTTAATACTTTATAACTACCATCTCAAATATTGCTGATGTTGTGAAGATTGAAATGCTAGCCTTAATTCTTTAGCAAAATCTTCCCATATATCAAACGGTCTCTTATCTTTATTACAAAGGACTTTATTTAGGTACTATTGTAATGCAGCATCCTTTAGCCTCATAATAATATATTGTAATCATTTTTTATCATCCACTTTTCATGCCTTGAATAGTAGATCGACTTGTAATAACCAAGTCACCACGTTTTCTTTTTCTTTTCTATGAAATATCAGTAACTGTACTAATAGGTCTTTCGTTTGTGCTGGTTCACAGTAATAATTTCCTTCCATAAAAGTTGGTACAGTTTGTATTTAAGCATTTTGGTTCTTAAGAAGTTTTGCAATTTGCATGTTGATAGCATCCTGGTTTGTAACAAACCTATCAATGAACTGGTTAAATTAATCTTGATCCATTACAATTAGATCAACTCAGTAGTTAATATACT